TGTCATTGTCAATAAACCGTATTTTTCTTACTTAAAAGACTACTTCTTATATCAAATTAATGATTGATAAGTTTTGAGTTTATGAGTATTTTCAAAGCTCCTGCTTGAGAAAAAGTTTGGACAGAAGAAAGTATACTTGAAAGGCGTTGTTGAATGGATGAAGGTCTGCTCTAGCAGCTTGGAATATTGCCCGAAAAGTCTTTCCTAAAAAGATGCAGTCCAATGTCTTTCAATTATTTGTGGCCCCCAATGCCTAAGCGATACGTCCGAGGGATCACACCGCTAAAAATCGGGTTTCGATACTCATGGCGGGTACAACACAGATAGCCCATGGTGTAGCTTAATAACAAACAAATAAACAATTCAAGTCTTTGAAAGTTTATTACAGATATGGCGCCAAATATACAATCTGTAAAGTCACGTGTCGAAGACAGCTATAGTAGAAGTTCAGTAGTACATGATATTCAGGGTATATGGTGTATTGAATACATTCAGCTAGAATTAATTTCAAGACTTACTGGTAGCATGTGTTTGATGGAAGAACTCTTTAGCACAACCTTATGATTTTTAAAGGTTAATAATTCTTTGAAAGTTCTATTTACGCATAATTACACACATTTTTTTGTAAACATGTAAAACTTAAAGAATGCGATTGCATTTTTTATTTGGAATCTAATAAAAAAAAAGCTTAGAAATTATTTTCTGTTTTTGGTTCGAATATTTGTGTCGAAAAAAAGTATGCAGACATCTTTGAATTTATATGCTGCATATCAGTGAGTCTGAATACCAAAACAGTTATAGCTGGTAGAAATATATTTAGGTATAATGTACTACTTCAGGTTGTTTGTTTGGACTTAAGCACAAAACTACACAATGGGCTATCTGTGCTCTACCCATCACAGGTATCAAAACCCGGTTTCGGGCATTGTAAGTCTGCAGACATACCGCTGTGCCTACTACTTCAGTAATCACTCATTTTCCCTGTAAAAAATTAATTCTTAGAGATTCAGCTGTTATCCAGTTCCATCAATTAAAGTACGAAAACATAAATCATAGTTAATGTTTTTTCTCTAACTTTCTGGATTATTTCTAAGCAACAGATGATTTGCACATCGAGTATTCATCATCATACAATTAATTTGTAGGGAAATTTTACATCAAGCTTGCCCTTTTCGTTACAGTTGATGTATCTTTAATAAATAAATAATTAGTAATATAATGTTAATAATTATTCCTGATAGACAGTTCATCTCTGAAGCTCTTTACATGGCGGGTCTTCCTCAGCCTAATTTATTAATGGATCTGCGATGAATAATTACACTAAAAGTTTGTTGTTACCCTAGTAATAGATGTCTAAATGCTAACTTTATACAAACCGATCAGTTTCTTAAAATAAATTATTTCAACTTATTGAGAAGGTTAAAGAAACTGAATACAGTACAGTAATAGCATCCTTGGGGAATTATACACACTTAAATAAGAATGTTTAATTTAAGAGTTACTTAGTTTATTTAGTGATTTAATATTTAATTATTATCTAGTTTTCATAACAAGAGTTTTAAAGTTAATTATTTTAAAAGTGATAGTTATGACAAGTTTTGTTACCTAACTCTGCACGAGTTGTACTTTGTGTATGCAGTTTAATTGTTGTACTAGGTTTTTGTAATACTGTTGACATCATCTTGCTCGAACCCGAAGCTTCCAAGTTCTTCTCGTTGTGTGAATATTGTTGTCACTAGAAGGCTAGACACATCTAGATTTTTCTGCCGATATAGATTGCAGAAGAAGTTAGTTAATGAAAGTGAATACGAAAAAAGTGAAGATGAACTGCGTGACTACAGTTTAGCCGTAATGGCCAATTTCTCAAGTGAATTTCACAGCTTATATTGTAACAATAGTGTAGAGGAGAATAATTTCTTGTCAAATGGTTTTCCAAAGTAATTGAACCCGCCTGGACTTTGACGAAAAGGAGACAACTATTTATAGCTCTCTATACAAGTGCGATAACCAATAGTGTAACGAATTTTTGTACGTATGTCTGACTTCTTTTGAGTATATTACTTTAAAACAAATAGATCATGTGCTGTCTATTTTATGTGGACATTTATCGCCAACAAGTCACAGACACCAATTGTAAAGAATCCAGGCCCATTTTCTGAGCTACAAATTTATTTTCGCGTAATAAGTTTTGAAACAAAGATATATATACATATAAATAATTTTAAAACTACAAGCCTATACAAGTGTTAACTATCTAAGAACATATAATCTCACTTCTTCACTAATCTTAGTGGTCATTTAGGCAGACAAGTATTATAGATTATTTGTACATCGCAACTTACAATAGAGCAGAGATCTACACGCGACGGTGGAAATGCCCCCCCCCCCCCATACTTGGTCACCAATACCAAAACTTTTAGTCTCTTAAAGCAGGGACTATGTGAAATTAAACTGAATTAATACTGTAGTAACTAGAGTTGAGTTGTTAAAAAAAACGAAAAAAAAGACGCTAGCCCTTTAGCTCAGTTGATAGAGCACGCGCCTGGTGTGAGAGAGGTCTCGGATTTAAATCCGAGGCGATGAAAAAAAATGTTGAAATTAGATCTTAAATCGGTCAAGAAATGAAGCTACGAGCTAAAAGTTTGTACTTGAAAAACACACACTTTGGTGCTATTTTATGGGCATCTCAAGATTCTGAAACCCGAGGACGGACCTTGTTTGTGAGAGTGGAAGAACGTAATAGTTTGAGTCGTTCAAAATTGACTTATTTTGACTGAAATTGGTAGAACACTCACCTTGCATGTGCCATGTCTCAGATTGATTTCTTATCGAGTAATGCCCCCCAGCAGCACAGCGATATATCTGCGGACTTACAACGCTAGAATCCGAGTTTCGATACCCGTGGTGGGCAGAGCACAGATAGCCCATTGTGTAGCTTTGTGCTTAATTACAAACAAACTTATCGAGTAAAATAAAATGTATATGTATCGTAAACAAAATAAATTACACTATTATTAATTGTAATCCTAATTAAAAATTGAATCTAAATATCAATTTTTTTTCAAACCTTGATATGCGTTTTCACCTCAGAGGCATATTGGAATAAAATATACAATCTTAGTTCTTTTTTTTTTTTTTTGTATATTCGTTCATTATATCGTAAACGTCGAATGTAACAGTTACTTGAATTTGATCTTAAGGTGTGCGGGTTATCGACTATTACCTTTAAACAATTATACTGAAAGTATTATACCATGCAAGAGCTTGTTCTTTCAGTTTTGTTTATACAGTTGTACTTATAAACGAAAAGATCTGACCAATAATGCATCAAATCATAACTACAATCAGCTAGCTCCTCTAAGAAAACAAACTCCTGTGAGGGCACGTGGTCAAACTCACAACTTACATTTGTATGATAGATTGCAGCAACTGAACTACTAGCGCAATGAAGAAATCAGGCACGGAATTCAGGTTGAAGATACATTTCTTTTAAAACCTGACGTGTACAAGATCGATTATTAAAACGATTTTGAAGACGCAAATCAGCAAGTCACGTGTAAACCATAAGACATAAATTAATGGCGGAATATTGTATTAGAACTAGTTTTGTAGGTAGTGATGCAACCTAGAATTAATCGCTTTTGGGAAGGGTATGCAACAGCCCTTTTAAAGCAAAATATTCATACATTTAGATTCATGATGTCAGTAAAACACGTAGGTTCAAGAAGTCTTAATATAAAACAATAAAAACCTTGTAACCCAAGCACTTTTGAAAGATGGACCTTTCTCATTCAGGGCAAACAGTTTACCCCCGAAGAAGAAAGGTCCACCTTTCGAAAGCGTTCATGTTACAAGTTTTTTTTGTTTTTTGTAATCACAAACTTAGATAATGTTTAGATCGGGGGACTTAGGATTTCGAAAACTGGCATAGCTTTTGTATTTAATAACATTGGAATACAAATGAATATGGATCAACTTGGAAGCTGAATCACACAGAAAGCCCTGCAACAAATCATACCCCAACTGTAGTAAACAAAGAACTGTCTTCTAATGAGCGAGAATCCAGAGCACAAAGGTTACAGGTAGGGACCTTCTTATCCCAGGCACTAGTGTGCAACAATTAAAAAGGATCTCCACATGGAAATAATGCCAACTGGCTGTGGATTCATCAAGATGAGGATTCCATCCATAAATACCATTCAACCGACATAACTAACAGTTTGAGAAAAACTGATATCCATGCTATTCCACAGACATATTGGTTAATTTGCCAAATGCAGTGACTAGGGATTTCTGTGTGATCAAATTGTTGAATGGGAACATTTATTCTAATACATTATATGGATTACGAAAAGCCTGTATGGATGATTGATGTGGTTATAATAGCCTTTAGCTCTGTTATCTACACCACAGGGCTATTGTCAATAATTGGTATTCACAGAACATGAAGAAATCTTAGGACATTGGTTCATCCAACAACAAATCCCCTTAAAAGACTTATTCAATTTATCCAATAAGATGTAAAAATTGTGATATTAACTATGTGAAAAAGTGAACGAGTGTTTGAGGTAAGAATTAGGGAACAAAGGTACAGTAGACAAGGAATCCACTCTAGCTAAACAAGCATCATTAACACATTCTTAGAATTTTGGAAATACTGAATACTAAGAAAATATATAATATAGATTTTTGACAGTGTACCAGATTGGTAGAATAAGACCACATTTGGTAAATAAGGATGATTGCAGCAAAGTTATCGAAGATCTACACATCCTAGGTAAGTTTTGGTTTCAGTAAATTGGAGATTAAATTGATTATACAAATTTAATCAAACAAGATGTCCCTAAAGTTATCTAATTTAAAATATTTACTACCAGAAAGAAGTTACATTCCCACTCTTAAGCATTATCATTGTGACTTTACCTAGTATTTTAGAACACCCTACCCCCCCTTATGCAACACCTCCAGATGTACAAGTTATTTGGAACACATTTAAGAAATTTTTTTAAGCATAGGTTAAACTGACTTTATTTAACACAAATTTTACACCAGTGACTTACAATATCAATACAAGATTATTCATAATTCTTTTCTCCTAAATTCTTTTCTATGAAATTTGTGGCAAAGCAACCAAACATGCAAAAACAACAAAATAACACGAAATAAATATATTCTGATCTTACAGACAAAACTTAAATACTTTTTACACTCCTTGTAGCAGCTTAAATAAAGACCAATTCCAGTAGTTATGTTATATTCTGTAAACAGTTCTGTATCCTCGCCATTCAGTGGTAGTACATTCAAGGTTTCTAGTTATTTCTTTTTAGAAGCCTTTTCTGCAGCCTTGGTCACTTTACTAGATATATCTTTGTTATTTTTTCCCTTTATCACACCAACAGCTACAGTCTGTCGCATATCACGGACAGCAAAACGACCCAAAGGAGGATAGTTGGTGAAAGTCTCCACACACATAGGCTTAGATGGAACCAGCTCAATAATTGCAGCATCACCAGATTTTATAAACTTTGGATTATCTACAGAGAAAAGTTAATTTAAGTTAAACATTGAGCTTGCAGAAGAAAGTCAAATTAAAGTACTTGTTCTGTCCAAAATTGAGCTAATACTATTAGAGGTTCACAGAATTTTACAAAAACTCACTTTAACTAACAAAGTTAACATTATGCATTTTCTCTAATACTAGTTAATATAAACTTGTAATTGAAGCAAACTATCCTGGTCAGAGTGAAAAGTTCAACCTGGTATTGAAAATTATTAAAAGTATGTTGTAGGTCAAACCAAAGACAAGGAGTTAACACAGACTATTGAGGATATAATGTTTTGGGCAATGCCCTTCTTCAACTATCACTAACTGAACAGTAAATCTATGCATAATTTTAGTTTTATACCAACTGGTATTGAAAATGACTAGCTAATTAGACTTTTCTTACATTCTTAGGTATAAAGATTACAATACACTGTTACAGCAGTTGCACACCCCCACCTTCAAGCTTCTTTCCAGTACGTCTGTCACACTTTTCCTTAATTTCCTTGAATTTACAAGCAATATGAGCTGTGTGGCAATCCAGAACTGGTGCATATCCATTGGTGATTTGACCAGGGTGGTTCAGGATGATCACCTGAGCTGTGAAATCTGCCGTTGCATTAGGAGGGTCATTTTTACTATCTCCAGCTACGTATCCACGACGCAATTCCTTAACGGAAACATTCTTAACATTGAATCCAACATTGTCACCTGGAAGAGCCTCAGTGAGGGCTTCGTGATGCATTTCTACAGACTTGACTTCAGTTGTAAGCATGACAGGAGCAAAGGTAACCACCATGCCAGGCTTCATAACACCAGTTTCAACTCTACCTACTGGAACAGTCCCAATACCTAAGAAAAACAGTTAAAAGTATGAAAAATGAACTTAAATGAATACAATATGAAATTGAAGAACAGTGTAAACTTTAATAATCTTCACTGTAACAAAGTAATACTCATTTGCATAAAAACGTGTTATACTAATTGAGCAGAGAAAATTTGGATACACACAAGAAGAAATATCTTACTCTTGAATAAGCTTAACTTACCACCAATTTTGTACACATCCTGAAGAGGAAGGCGGAGAGGCTTGTCAGTAGGACGAGATGGTGGCTCAATACAGTCCAAAGCACCCAAGAGAGTTTTTCCTTCTTGTGATTGACCCTTGCGTTCAATTTTAAACCCCTTAAACCATGCAGTGTGGGGGCTTGGCTCCAGCATATTGTCACCATTCCATCCAGAGATTGGAACAAAAGCAACACCAGCAGGATTGTAACCTATTTTCTTGATGTAGGCACTAACTTCCTTCCGGATTTCTTCAAAACGTTTCTATTGAAATAGATTTAAGCTGTTTAGTCATTAAATCCTATGCCACTCAGGCTTAAATACCTCTTCTAATTATGTACTTAACATAGTCACTGGTAACTTTGCACGCAAGAAAAACTATGGTTAGTACTTCTAAACTCAACCAATAAACAGTGAAAGCCCAGTTATACAAACTACAAATAGTGTGTATACATGGAAATTAAACTTAAAGTAAATATTCAGATTCATGACAAAGAACAAAAATTCATATTTTTTTAAAATTAAAAATCAAAAAGCAGGGAATTGAGAAGAAAAAGGATGGTTATTATCACTCTTCATTGCACCTTATGCTTTGAAAATAATTAGACCCAACAGCTATAAAATGATTGGATAGAAAAGATTTACTCAGAATCAATAATAAAAATTTTTTTTGTCTGTCAACATACTGACTATCAAGTTCTTGTCAGAGTTAAGAAAGAATTCCAATGCAAAGTTGGAAACACACTACAGATCTAAGAATTCATTCTTGATGAATATGTATAGTTAACACTGATAGCACACACAAGACTTTGGGTAAGTTTTGTTAGGCCTAGCAAGTACATTAAGTGATGACAAACAAGTCAAACAACTAGTACTTGATAAAACATTGTGAAACTTATATTAAAAATAAAAACTTCTTTATGGAAAATAATCTCTGTTGGCAAAAATCATATCTAACCTAAAAAAATAACAATGGTCTCATTTTTTACAACCAATTCTAGGCCATCAATATTCATTTGTTTGATATACAAGTGTAACTGCTTCAATTTGTGAAATAAGTACAAACAAAATTTTAACTTTCTGATCAATAAAAGTTATTTAAATTAAAGTGCATGATTTTTAAAACAAGTTACTTTTTGAAAAATAATTTCATAGCTAAAAATGATTGAGAAACTAAATGATTGAATTTTTTAAAACAGAAACTAGCTATTATTTACCAATATTAATTAAATTTAAGCTTTACTTTTTCCCAGAGGTAACAGTCCAATTTAAATTACTTACCCACACACACACGTGTATGTAAATCATGTCAATTTGTCCCATGCATCTAATCTTAGATGCAAGACCATCTTACATGCTTTAAAAAGCTAAAAATATAGGTATAGCGATATACACAGCTTTTACTTTGTTATTTATGATTATTAGTCTTATTATAACACACCTCACTATATGGGGGTTCTGTGGTGTCCATCTTGTTGACTCCAACAATCATCTGTTTCACACCTAACGTATATGCCAGTAGGGCATGTTCTCTGGTTTGTCCATTTTTGGAGATGCCAGCTTCAAACTCACCAGTTCCAGCAGCCACAATTAATACAGCACAGTCAGCCTTTGAAAAAAAAATTGCAACACATAAAAACAAACGAATAACATACAAGTTAAGTACACAATAATTAAGTAATCAAAATGCATATTGACCTGTTGTTACATTACATTCAACACACTCAAAATATATAAATCAAGTTTAAGAAAAACAAAAGGTCATAAAAATTCTGTAAGTAAAACAAAATATTTCAAAGAATGCTATTTATGTACACCCACCTGGGATGTCCCAGTGATCATGTTCTTGATAAAATCACGATGTCCGGGAGCATCAATAACAGTAATGTAGTACCTTGGAGTTTCAAACTTCCACAGGGTGATATCTATTGTAATACCACGTTCCCGCTCAGCTTTCAGTTTGTCCAAGACCCAGGCATACTTGAAGGATCCTTTGCCAAGCTGCATCACAAAAATCAGCAGAATCTCAACAAATCATTGCAAAACATGCTCTACTTAAACACTCTTTATACTGCTACCCCCACAAAATACTTTGGATTTTAATGTATCAAGATACTTAATGCATTTTGTACAGTAGTTTTCTGACAAGTTTTCCAAACATTGAAAGTTGGCTTTAATGTTTATAGTGTAATTTGTTAAACGCTTATTGCAAGTTGAGATTACTTGAAGAGGTAACGAAAAATACTATTGTAAGTTTAACAAAATAATTATACAACATTTTGACAAGATTAAGATACGAGTAGTTTACCTAGATGCAGGAATATATCATGAAATAAAGAATTAACATCTGGAGACTGCTTAACAGTTTGAAAGGCATGCTTGTTTAAAGCAGGAATATGCTGTCAAATTAAAAATGGATTATTTGATTCTTTGTTTCAAAGTTAGCATATTTAATATACTATGCTTTTTTTTTTTAATTGAAATGGTTCCGATTTTTCTAGATTCAGTGAATCTTGTTTCACTTTTTCCAGTTCCACCAACACAGAATTCAGGGCAGTTGTATTTTATAAATATTAATATTGCACGATTCTACAACTTTTATTCAATAAGAATTGAGTCTTGAGTGAATTCGTATACTTGTTTATTGTTAGTAATTAAGTAGTTCAGAGCATCATTTCAATTTAAACATTTTTTTCAAAATACCTTCCGTACTCCAACAAGTGCAACATACCATTTTGAATATTTATCTAAAATTCTATGAATTGGTTAGTAGTAGCCAATTTTGCACATCAGAATTACACTTCAAAAAAAATGAACAACTGCTTATAAAAAAAAAAAAATTACAAGGCAGCAAGGACAGTAGTTAACATGACAGCATACATGCCATACAAGCATTCTACATTAAATTCATCCATTTTAGTGACATTATTCAGTCAAAATGTTATTGTGTGGTGCTACAAAGCTGATTTTTATCTGCTGAATCAATTTATAGATATATAACAAAATGTTTCAACACTGTGATACATCTAATGAAAATCATTGAAGACTAATGTTAGCTAGGAAGATAATTAGAAGGAAAAAAATACCTCGGCTGCTTCCTTCTCAAACTTCTCAATAGTTCTCTTATCAATACCACCACATTTGTAGATAAGGTGACCAGTGGTAGTAGATTTGCCAGAGTCTACATGTCCGATGACAACTATGTTAATATGAAGTTTTTCTTTGCCCATTGTGGACTAACAACAGCTATTAAGACATAAAAACAGTTTATTATTAGTCAAATTATCAAACTTCCATTTTGAATTAATAAAGTCAGTAACATTCAGGACGTTCACGAAAATAATTATTTTAGAAATACTGTCGCTAAACTAGAAAGGTTAGTCATCATAATGATACTAAAACTTAAAATCTTGGTTGAAACATGCAAATATTTTGAACGTGTATGGCTTGCTAAAGAGCAGTTTAGTTTTAAATTAATTTAGATTTCAGAAAAAAAAATCTTAATTCCCAGTATTCAAGGTACGTCATATTCTATTTGTTTAACAAAATTACGGATTTCTTAATCACTTACTACAACTTACAAGTACAATCATAGCGGTAACTGTAATTTCTTAATGTTATAAAGTTTTATTTGCATCATACAGTACTACTACAAATAATATTAACATCATTTCAAAATCAGGATTCTTAATATCTCAAACTCCTTAATTATCTTTCACAGATGCAAATAAAATAAATTGGAAGTACTAAAACCGTATATTCACAATATTATACGTCTAGTGAACATGGCGGACGAAGTGTATTTTTTGACAGTGACCGGTATACGACATTCTTACACTAAACGTAAACTAATGGCAATATCATGTGTCACACAAAATTGAATTTCACTTTAAAGATTACAAAAGTTTTATAACATACGCCATCATTCAACAGATTGCTCTAATCATTATTCATAATTTAAATGTCTTTACAACAGTCACAATAATAGCAAGCATTTCCCCTGCATCCTACTTTCTCTACCTGTATTCAAGATGATAATAATAATATGTTAATATTGCGCCGTAACGTTTAGAACACAAAATGAAATGTGCTTTAAAGTTAACCTTCGGATTTTCAATACCGTTATTTCGGGTTACAAGAAAAGGCTGTTATCGACGGCTATCTTTTACAAGTTCGATTTACTTAGAAAAACATACAAACCTCACAAGAACTTCCACAACTCAGAAGAGAGAAGCATCTAATATTGATCACGTGGTTTTATAGGAGTCTAGTGATTATGCATGACGTCACACTGCAGATTTCATTTTAATCATTTTTCATAGATAGATAAAAGAACAATCTTTAACACAGAAAACAATTACTGAATTTTTACAAACCATTATTCTCTGAAATTATAAAATTTCTTATTCCAGTAGCTTTTTCATGTTCTAACAGTAAATGAGTCATTGCGTTAGCCTATCGAATGCAAAAACTGAAAAAATTAATTTGTTGTTAACACGGTTTTTCATACAATAGTTCCAGTGCTTACTTTTTGCATCTTTTTTGTTTATTTTAAACGTTCATATTAAAGTGAAAAGAATAATTTAAAATCCTATGAACAGCACCTGAGTCTACAAAAAAAAAAAAAAAAAAATTAACAGGTCATGGAATTTGTTGGTCTAGCCAAAATATCTGCTCGTTGTTTATCTTTTGTAATTCTTAAGTTCACTATGTATAGTATTGTTCCTATCACTTCTATCGTTGAACTGAAGACACTGCAAAGATCACTTCGTGTAAAAATAGTTTATTTCACCCTTAACGCTTTCTACGGGCTACTATTACTTGTACACAGTTGTATCCTAAGTTTACAAATAACGTTTTCACTTTCAACATAAATTTAATGATACTATTGTTGCGTCAGCGAGTCACATGACTACTGTGACGCAACGTTTCTAGAACTATCATGTACTTTGGCGAATGCTCTAGTATTTACTAGATAGGGTAGGCTGGTATATATAAGAGGGGGAAAACGTGACGCGGAAAGGTAATGTAATGTGTGTGTAGATAGTGAG